CGTGCCGCTGTATCGTAAGCCTTAGTGAGCAGGTCATCAGTGACCCGACATTGGGGTCGAGGGCACCTGGCCTCCGACCTTCATCAGGGGAAACTATGAGGGAAGCAATGGTAGGCTCCACAGCCGGCATGTGATCAAGGCCGACCTTTGCCGCATCTTGCATGGCTGCTAGGGCTCGGCCATCGGACGTAAGACGGGAAAAAGTCTTAGTGTCCCTCCAGCATGCATGTAACTCCCTCAGATACTCACAAGTAGGGATGGGTATCGTTTGAAATTTATCGATTCCGATTTCGATTCCGGTTCTGCTTATCGATTCCGGTTCTTATCGATTCCCCGTTTCGATTCCAAAATTGTAAAATAAAGAGGTCAAACGTTTAGATAACAAACATATATTTATTCTTAAAAGCTTTAACTGAAATTGTTACTAAAAAATATACATGCAATACAAATGTATTGCACAATAGCTGTGCTTTATTTTAACTGAGCTATGCCTGTGGCAAGCTATTAACAGGCATTACACTTTGCCTTTTATTTTTATTTTTTAGTGTAGTGGAGCCTCACTTCAGAGTGTTTACCGCGACCTATCTTTGGTGTTATGAAGTGACTGAGCTCGTGAAATGTCTACGGGAGGGCGGGGGAGCATCGCTGCGGGGCAACTGTGGACCTCTGTCGCCTGTCAGCGCAATTTATATGATGCCGTTTAAAAAAATGAAGGGCGGTGCCGGCCGTCAGCGTACCGAGCCGGCCGTCAACGGCCCGCTGACGACCGGCCGTTCTGTGATTCTCCAGGTCCGCCCTGTATTCCACCGGGTCACCGCAGCACCGCGGTGCAGACGGACCCGCTGGAATACAGGGTCTACCGCGTTTAGGAACCGTTAAGCAGAACCGAAATTGTGTATTTTGTATGGGTACCCGGTACCCGGCATTTTCTTATCGGTTCTCATCTGGAACCGAGTTTCGGTTCCCAACCCTACTCACAAGAGGGAGGAACTGCAAGGGTGGCGGGTGCCAAAGTGCGCCTGAAGAACGCACTGCAAGGCACTGTTTCGGGCTGCTGTACATCCAACTGCTGGCGAGCCAGTGCCATGCGGATGACGGTACTCATGGAGCCGACATCCGCCCCCCCCGAGGATGCATGATCTGAGGTACAGGAGCCAGGCCCAGAAGCCTGGGACGGGCCCTCTCCTTCATACTCATTAAATTGAGTGGCTGAAGCTGCCAATGAGAACACATCGTCCTCTGGAATCAGTTCAGGCATGGGTGGGCTGGGTGGACTGGGTGCAGCGGCGTGCTCTGTACGGACACCAGAATGGAGAGCCAAGAGGATTGACTTCATCTGGGCAACCTCAGTAGTGAGTCGGTCCACCCTAGAGGACAGCCTATCAGGCTTAGTCCTTTTCTTGGGCGGGGCACCTGCAGCCTCTGCTGCCCGACGCCTAGGACGGGTAGGTTGGGATGTAGTCGACTGTGCAGGGGGAAGGCCACCCTCAGTCAGTAGTTCAACCCTGGCTAGTCTAGCAGCTCTTACCGCACGAGGCATGATGGTACAATTCATGCACGAGTCCTCCGAAAGGCCCTCCCTCAGATGCTCGAGGCCAAGACAAGAGGGGCAAAGGTCATGGCCATCCTCTGGTTGCAGAGAAGCCATACAGGTGTTACAGCCGTTAAACATAGCGCCACTCTTAGGGGAAGCACTCAGCTGACTGTAAATAACTGGCCAGGAAACAAACTCCACAATGGAGGGGAGTGAGCACAAAGTAGTTAGCGTGAGCGTACGCACTCTGCTAACTGGGGTGCGAACAAGTGTGTGGTCAGTTAGTGGTATGCTGTGGGAGGAAAGCGGGAATACTCTCTCCCTAGCGCCGTAGCAAGTTAGCCTGAGCTAAAGCACTCTGCTAACATGAGATGGAATGGTTCTTAAGACAACTGTGTGCAGGGAGAGGGGAGCGGAAACACTCTTCACTAGCGCTGTAGCGAGTTAGCTTTGAGCCAGAGCACTCAGCTAACTGGAGGATACAACAGAACCCAACTGTGTGCAGGGAGAGGGGAGCGGAAACACTCTCTTCACTAGCGCTGTAGCGAGTTAGCTTTGAGCGAGAGCACTCAGCTAACTGGAGGATGGAACAGAAACCAACTGTGTGCAAGGAGAGGGGAGCGGAAACACTCTCTTCACTAACGCTGTAGTAAGTTAGCTATGAGCCAGAGCACTCGGCTAACTGGAGGATGGCACAGGAACCAATTGTGCGCCGTGGAAGGGCGAAGACACTCTTTCACTAGCGCCGTAACAGTTAGCTTGAACGGGAGCACTCAAACTAACTGGACGATATACAGGTAAGGAATTAAATGTCTGTAGTGAGAGGAGGGCGGAGACGCCCTCTTCACTTAGTGTAGTAACAGTTAGCTTGAACGGGCTAGCACTCAGCTAAATGGACGATAGAATCAGATAAGAAACCAATGTATGTAGTGAGAGGAGGTGCGGAGACGCTCCTTTCACTAGTGCAGTAACAGTCTAGCTTGAACGAAAGCGCTCAGCTAACTGGACGATAGAATCAGGTACGATAGAATCAAATGTTTGTAGTGAGAAGAGGGCGGAAACGCTCTCTTCACTAGTGCAGTAACAGTTAGCTTGAACGGGCTAGCACTCAGCTAACTGGCCGATAGAATCGGTTAAGTAACCAAATGTTTGTAGTGAGATGAGGGCGGTAGACGCTCTCTTCACCAGTGCAGTAACAGTTAGCTTGAACGGCTAGCACTCAGCTAACTGGACGATAGAATCAGGTAAGTAACCAAATGTTTGTAGTGAAAAGAGGTGCGGAGACACTCTTTTCACTAGTGTAGTAACAGTTTAGCTTGAAAGAAAGTGCTCAGCTAACTGTGCAGTGACAATTAGCGAGAGCCCTCGGCTAATTGTATACAATTATCTCATTAGTTTGAGAATATATAGCACAAACAGCAAAACCGGTAGAGCCGGCTGACGTGCAGGAGCGTCCGCTCTTTACCGATCCGGAGCTCCTAAGATCCGAGCGGTGAACACCGCGGTCCCCTCCCTTGGGAGGACGGACAGCTAGCTCGTCGCAGCCTTTGGAGGGCGAGCGTCTTTCTAGCCCGCAGCTCCGATCTAACGATCACAAGGCTACAGATAGCGATGAGCTAGGATCTTAATTGTTCAGTAAGCTAGCTTTGGCTTCTACTCATAAAGTAGTAACCTACGCTGCGAGAAGATGAAAAGGACTGAACTCGTCGACGGCACCGGAACTTATGCCTTCCGGGTCGTACGAGGTCACACGTGACTTTGTTGATATAAATATTCGACCTACGCATGCGCGAGACAGAAGATATCCAGTGCTAAAGCACCGCCTCTGGCGGTCAGTAGGTATGAAATAGAACAAGAATACAGTTTAAAAGGTGAGAGATTTGTAAAATATCCATAAAGAAAAAGAAAATCTGTTTTTGTTTCATATGGATGTTGAGAGATGTATCCATAGATCTCTTAATGTTGCTCTCAAAATGCACCATGCTTTTAAGTTCAATATTTAAAAAATATTCCCGGGGGAGCATTCCCCGGACCCCCCCCCCCCCCCCACACACACACACTTATAAAATAGCACTTTACCTCTGCTTACACCTATGTGCCATTTTATATGCTGTGAGCTGATTATCGAGCCTTCATTGTAAGAGTCGCGGGTACACTGTGTATGTGCGTATTCCACTGTAGCGCCCGGTACATTAATGGGAAACCCTAGTTTGTACATGTTCAATACATTTGTAACACTGTACACATGAACGTTTCTTTTTTTCGGTTCACCAAAATAAAAATCTCACTCCAAGCTGAACTCAAATGTTGGCAGCCGTGCTTACATGCTAACCCAAGCCTTAACATTCATTAACGTTAGCTGACTCAAAACATAAGCAACACATAAATAAAGTAGACCTACTCAAATTCAGTGGCGAGCCGTGACTTTTATAGCTAGGTACCTCTGACCCCCCCTGAGCCATCATGAACAAACTTATGCTAATCATAAATCTATCGATTAGATTTATGATTCGAAAATAATAAAAGTAGGGTAGACATGTGGATATTATCCGGCTGAACAAAACGTGCATTTATCTAACAGGTTTGTTTTCTACGACCTTATTTCAAGCTATTTTCCAAAATCCTATGGAGAAATCCCATTGCTTTCTGTCGAGGGAATCCGAGCGCAAATTACTTCCGGGTTTTAGGACGCGTCACTGCACCACTTGCATAGACCTCACAGCGGGCGGAACTTGTCATAAAGTCCGTGAAAATAAAGCCCGCCCATTTAGAGGGAAGATATGATTGGTCAATTGTACTGTCATTTGACATTACTCTCTCGTTGAGTTACTATAGCTGGCCCTCTGTGAATGTAGAAAAAAAATGTTTTTTTTTAACGTTTTCAAATATTATTTTTTTAAATATCTTAGGCCCTCACATCATGGAGCTGCTAGCAAACAACAGCAGTCACCGGATACCTGTCACTCAATGTGACCACGCCCTAATTTATGCATAACTTTAAGGCTTAATATAACTTCAACAAATTATAAATGGTAGTAACTCATTAATAAATGGTGATTTGTTTTACACTTTACAAGGCTCCCTTTTGGCAGTTATAAATGTTAGTAACTCGTAAATAAATGGTCATAAGAGATGCCAAGAAACATCAAGATAGAAGGGGGGAGAATCAACTCAGTGAACAACAGATACCAAGGATGCTGGCTAATGAAGACAAAGTAAGCTAGTGCCATTATAAGGCTTAGTCATCTTGCCAAATAGTGAGCCTGTGTTGATGTATGAAAACTATGTTAGAACTGGTTTATAAATGGTTCTTAATGATTAATAAAGTGTTTACAACCTAATTATAAACCCTTTATGAATCCTTTATTATTGTAAAGTGGTACCCATATAACCTTTGTTTGTTAATATTCCGAATATGGAAAAAAAATGATTGACCATCACATCTTTATTTTATTGTCTTTTCCAGCAACCCTTCCCCCACGAGTCCCTGCTGATAGACCGCAGAGAGCTGAGGCTGAACAAGGCTGAGAAGAAAGCGGCGAAGAAAGGATACGAAGAGGAGAAGAGGGCGTCCGTGCCGTACACCCGCCCGTCCTACGCTCACTACTACCCTGCCAGCGACCAGAGCCTCACCAACATCCCCGCCTTCAGTCAGAGGAACTGGTCAGTGCTTTCAGCAGAAACAAAAAATCTACTTTTTTTTCTATTCTTATTAGAAACTTTTCAGCAACAACTTATTACAAGTTTTGAAAAAATGAACTGAATTCTTGAGTTAAAAAAATCTGTACTCAGGCGTGCACCTACTCGTACTGAAGAGAAGTCGGTGGCCAGTGTCCGTCCGGTCCAGTCGACTCCAGTTCCCATGACTCCCAGACAGGCGTCTGCAGGCTCCGCCCCTGGCAACGACTCATCAGAGTCCAGCCTCGGAGAATTTCCTGTCAAGTGCCTGCAAAAAGCCGGGGTGTTCGTACAGAAGATCGTCACCACTACTGGTAGGCAAACTGTTTACTGCCTGATCTTATTTTCTCCTGTTCTCCGCCTCTCGAGTATTTTGATATGAGCTGAAGGATAATTTCTGTTTTTATATACTCTATAATATAAATGTGTCTTCCTTGGTCTTTTATAGACATAGTGATTCCAGGAACCAACAGCTCAACAGATGTCCAGGCCAGGATCACTGCTGGAGAGAGCATCCACATCATCAGGGGCACCAAAGGTACAAAGACCCTTTACTAAACTTTACAAATATTTGCATGATGCTCCTATATTCAACTTATCATTCAAAATATGAGAATTTAGTTTTCGCCAATGTTTGACATGATACTAAACAGAATATTTTTGGGTTTTGGACAGTTGTTCAGACAAAATATTGTCTGCAGATAAATAATAAACATATTCATTAGTTGTAGCACTTGCCGCTTCTCTGAGAACCATTTATGCTTAACTTAATGAAGCTCATCAGTAAACTTTCTGTGTGTACTGACCTTTTCTTGCACCTCTGTCTGTTTTAGGGACTTACATCAGGTCGTCTGATGGTCGAATCTTTGCCATCAGAGCAGCTAGCAAGCCCAAGCCTGAAGAAGAGAGTACAGCGCCACCCAAAGGTAGGATGATCTATTACCAGAGCTGACTTCCAAACAAATGTCCCGTAACATTACAGTCATTGCTCACAGTAAAGTTGGTGCAGAGGCTCCAGAAAATGCGGGCGCTGAGGTAGCAATGAGCAAGACCAAAGACAGAAATACTGACCAATAAGGGCAGGGTTTTGGGAGGGGGGGCTTGAAGACACAGCTGCTAAAATGGAGCAAACCAGAAAGAGGGAGAAGAAAAATGAGTCTGAAAATGAGCATTATATAATTATAAGCATGCAGAAGAAAAAAAATACTGACATTATAATATTAATAAAGCAGTCCATGTTAGGAGTGTATTCCTTTTCAAGAGCTAATATATTGGTTCTTCTTCTCAGACTCCCAGGCCCTACCACAGGAAATGTCAACCGATGGCAGCAACGGGAAGCAGCAGACGCCCTCCAAGACTGTGCCCCGCCCCCTCTCCCCGGACAGCCCAGAGATCATCAGCGAGTTGCAGCGCTACACGGGAGCCGCCCCCCCCCGCAGCCCAACCAGAGAGCCCCCCCACCAACCTGCCCTGCACCAAACTACTTCAGACCAATGGCAGCACAGGGAAAACTCACCACCATGACGCCTCTGTGACTAATGTCATCCAGCCCAACATGGACGCCATTGACCTGAGACAGGGCGTCAAGCGCAAAGCCTGCACCCCGTCCCTGGAGGAGCTTCCCAGTAAGCAGCCCCACACGGGCAAACACTCCTCCGCCCCTCTGGCCAGCCCAGGCTTCTCCTTCCCCTTCAATGGGGGCTACAGCCTCCCTCCTCTGGGTATCAACACCTCTATGTTCTCGCCTTACTTCCAGCCCCCTCACACCCAGCTGAGGGACCCCGGTTACATGTACCCAGATCTGTTCAGCTTAGGTGGAACCGGCACCGCTTCCTCCTCCTGCCCGACGACCAACACCGCAACCTCCGTCTCATCTTCCTCGTCATCCTCTGCTTCAGTCAAAGGGGCCGGTTCGGTTCCAGGAGCCATGCCGCCGTTCATGCTGAGCCCCAGCATGGTGGGCATGGCCGGGATGCTCCCCGCAGGCTTCCCTCTGTCCTACAGCCCCTCCCTGGCCAACCTCTACACGGGGTCCATGCTGCCGGGGGGACTGCCGGGTCCTGCCGCCACTCCAGGTCCCGCCGGAGCCAGCTTCCTCTCCCAGTTCCCCTCCAATGCCGCCTCCAGCTCCTCCTCCTCTTCTCCTTCCTCCTTCTCCCCCACGGGGGAGGGCCGCCGGGGTACGGTGCTGGTAGATGGCAGGAACGTGAGCAGCGCCAGCAGCTCGGATGATGACGACGATGTCATCGAGGTGAGGGGACAGTGACAGACCAATGATTGAGCATTATTTAAAAATTATTGAAATAAGATCAAGTCCTCCGGGAGGAAGGTGTAAAAGGGCTTGTGCCGTGAGGGAAATGGACAAAAAATGAAAATAAATTGAAGTGATGACAAATGAGTGTTTCCCCTGTTTGCCTTGGAGAAATGGCCTGAAGGGCTTGAACACAGAGCGACAAATCTCAATGCTGACTATCGGAAGATAAAACCTAAGGAAGAAAATGAAAACCAAGAGGACTTTGGGCTTCCAAGTTTTGTCCATTACTGGCATTTAAAACAAATCACTGGACTGAACTGCTGATTGTGGGCCTGCAGTAGGTGTAGTGTTGACTTTAGAGAATCTAGTTCTGCAGCTTTGCTAAATGTCGAAACTCTTTCGCTTTTTTCAGCTTGTTAAAAAGATGATGGTAGGATGCAGTTGCTTACGTAAAAAAAAGGTTTGATTATTGGTAGTAACGTTCGTTAAATATCAGTAACTTGGTAGTGTCTGTTTCAGTTGTTGAATATTGCTACTGAATATTTCTTCAAAAGGTAAAAAGATCACATAAATGTAAAGAGCATTTTTGATTGAATTGAATAATTCACTGCCAGGACAAGGGTATTGTACAGTTGAAAAAAAGAAAAGAAACGAGAGCATCTTGAAGTATCAAAAAGGCTTGTTGAGGATGAGGTGGGAGACATTTACTGAAACCTTAAAACTCGATTGAACGAATGTATGCTAAATCAAATGCCTTCAAACCAGGCCTTTTTTTGAAAAGTCTCCTATTTAGGCTTTAGACGTGGGAAGATCTGATTTTCTTTTTTATGTTGATGTAATCTCTTATACTTTTTAGAGAAAAACATTGCCTAAAAACAGCCAGGTGAAAATACGGGGGGGGGAAATAACTGTGTTGTTGTGAGGTGTCCTCCTCGTAGCGGAGAAACCACCAACAGAAAATGCCTTTCTGCCTCCATCTTTCTGAATGTTAACTACTGTGAGAAAGGAGAGGTGAAGAGAGCGGACGGCCACTGCGGCTCTCTGAATCTCACCCACAGTCTTACTGTAGCCTAGCGCAAAGCGATGCAAAACACTCACTCAAGCCTATAAATGTATACGTACGAACCCCCCGAGGAATTAACCCTGAGTTTTGGTTACGCTTGTGTCGTTACTGTGTTCGTATCTGTGCGTTGTGTTCGGGTTACAATAGGAATAGTTTAAACAAAATAGAAGCTTGTGTTACCTGTTCTTTCTGTCTCATCTCATTCAACATTGTGAAACCAAACTTCTTTTTATTTGTTGGGGGAGACGATGTAGCTTTGCCAAAAACAAGAGCACATCGGAGACCTCCGTCGAAGAGGATTGTGTCTTAAAAGACCAAATAATGTCACCAACAGGATTTAAAACGCCAACACGCTCTCTCTACAGCATCCTCACGAAGCACAGTGGAGACGTCCATATCCATCTCTCTCTATGACCTTGCAGGTAACACTGTACACTGTACTGCACTGTTATAGAGACACAAATCTGTATGCGTCTGTAGAAAAGCTGCGAAAGCTTCAGCATGTGACCAAGTTCCCCCTAGATTACCCATGAAGCATCTCTCTGATCCCCTCTGATCACACAAACGGATCGGCTACGGTGTGCACTGTCCTTAAGTGGAAAAATCTTCTCCTCAAAAACGGCTGCAGCGAAGAGCTTTAAAACCCACCAGCTCTTTTTGTGACATCATCAAGTAAAGACATCAGCATGTCATCCTCTTTATCTTCCATGTTTTAGTTTACTTGTTTTTTTTTTGTGCTCTTTGAATTAACCAAATGTATTTATTTATGATGGTGCATATTTATTCATTTTTTGTACATTGTTTTTTTGCTCTTCTTTATCTTGTTTTTAAGATTTTTACAGTCCTATTACTTTTTGTTGTTACTACAGATGGAAACACTTTGGTTTCTGGTCATTTTTATTTTTGTCTTTGGGTGTCAATCTGCGAGTCTGACCCAGAACATGTGAACTTGTGCAGAACTTGCGTGCGGACCAACCAATAAGTGCATTACTGTACGCATTATAGGTCGGGATAACTGTGATCAGATCTTCATTACGATAAACCCAACAGAAGAACATCAGGGATACATTAGTATTACTAAGCTGTGTTAAAAACCTGTTTTTCTCGATTCTATGAGCTAAGATTCTTCGTGAGAATATCAAGCTTCTCAACAATTGGGGTACAAATCTTAAATATTTAATATTAGGAGCCATTTGTGCATGTAAATAAAGCTCATTCACACGTTATGGGTCAGAAACAGAAGCAGTCCAACCACTTATCATCTGAGAGGACAAGAAAATAATGATATCAGTTCATTTTCTTTACTTTTTTTTGTACGGTCCATTACTATTATCATCAGAAATGTCCATGGTGACATCCGAGGCGAGTTTCCTCCCTGTTGAACTGTTGTCAGCTCTGTGTCTGCCGCGCCGACTGACTGCTCTTTTATTTTGCCGCTTTCTACTTGAATTTACATATTTATTTATACAAATCGATTCGGTAAGACGAGTGGAGCCGACCGTCTGAATTCCATTTTAGCCGAGGAGAAGATTAAAGCTGCTGTCTTTGAGGATTGGCTCTAGTCAAAGCCTGTTGTGTCGTTTATCAATGGATAATGTGTATGACCTTGGATTACTTTTAGATCCTTTTTTTGGTTTTTGAAGTTTGTAAATAAAAAGAAACATGTTCTAAATAACACTTGTCCTTATTTCTTTACATCAATTTGAGTAGCAGGCGTAGTGCATACCCCCTTTGTATTCCCCATACACACAGAACATGAAGTCTTTTCTCTTTTTCACATGTTTGGGTTTAGTACTGACAAAACAAGACATTTAAAGAACTCATCTTAGACTTTGAGAAATGGGATAGACCTTTTATATTTTCATGACACTAACCAAATTACTTATGGCTTATGAGATCATTTTTATAAAAAAACTTTTATAAAATAAAGTTAGAAGGGGGATGCTACCGCAGAAACTGCATGAGATTATTATTATATCCCAACAAGTTAGAAATAACTTTCTTGTTGCCTTCTCCATAGTGTCATTGCTTTTGCCAGTATATATGATTAAGATCAATGGAACGTAACATTAACAGTTAAATCTGGGTTGGGGTTTGTACTGATCCGCTTTTAATCTCGTACAAAATATTGTTCAAATATTATTGTGTGTGTGAGACCTCCATTAACAAGCAGATGTTTTTATAAAAAGTGAAGACATCAAATTGAATTCCTAAAGTTGTAATAAGGACATGAAATCAACAAATTTGTCTCCTGAACAATTTGAGTTAATCTGAAAGTTTGCAGACTTTATTTTGCAGGTAACTTGAGTTCTTGGTTTGTTGCTGTTATCAGTTCATTCCAAACACCAGGGGCGGTTCTGGAGGGGCCAGGGGGGGGGCAGTGCCCCCCTAACACTGACCTCTGACCCCCCTGTGGCCCCCCTAACAATGAAAAGTGTTTTTTTTTTTTTTAAATGTATATTTTCTGGTACTCGGTTTGCCAAAAAACCGCAGGATTTTGTTGCTGTAATGTGAGATTGTGCAGACACCCTTACGTAAAGTAGAGATGTAACTGTTCATTGCCTTTATTTTTATATAAATATGGTGTGAGTTCAAACATTGCACTATAACTTAAGCTGAAGCTAACAGTAATAACTATAAGATCTATCTGAAATAAATAAGTGTACTGAAACAAATACCAATAACTGTATTGCATTGTTTTCTTATGCGCAATTACTTCATACTGTCTAGTTCTCTTTTTCGTCCTGCATTTATTGTGCCCCCCCCCCCCCCCCCCCCCAGTCAAATTGGTCTAGAACCGCCACTGCCAAACACCAAAACAGGACTAACAGTTAAGTATAAGGGATGCATTGACCTCAAATGCCAGTAACAAGTTTCAAATGTCACAATAATCAAAATAAGTTTCTTATGGTATTTTCCTGCACACAGAAGGGGATGTCATTTCACAGACAAATAGCCCACTAGTTGATTTGCATGGTTGTTCAATTACAGAACATGCACTACCTGTTATGGATGTGTATGTACAACACCTGTGCTTTTTGTTAGATTTAATTTGATCCTTTACACTTTTGTGCAAATGTACCATCTGCAACGGCCCCTCATATTCAATTAATGTAAATTGCAAAAGTCAAACCAAGTAGAACTAGGATTTTGAAACAAAAATATGCTTCCTAATCAAATGTATAGTGTAAGCCAGAGAACCTGCTTACTACTTGTCTGTTTTGGTTGCCTTTCTGACTGTTTAACTTTGTACTGTAACTTTGTACTTTTAGCTTTTCTTTTTAATGACTGATTTTAAATGCCATTTTCTTAATCTCTTTCATTTTTTGTAAAGCACTTTGAATTGCCTTGTGTTGAAAAGTGCTATATAAATAAACTTGCCTTGCCTTGCCTTACTGACTCAGTTCGGTGAAGTTGTTTTAGTCCTCAGCCTTTGTCTCTGTTGCATTCTTTGCCTGTTTAGAACAGTTGTTACAACAAGTATTGGATTTTTTCTAAATCCTTACCAGAAGGAGACCATTATTAATGTGTGCAGTGATAAGTTACACTGTGTAGCCTACAGTAGTAAAGTTAAAGAATATTTTCCACAAAAAATAATCAACCAAATTATGAAAAAATATTTCCCCCTAACTTGTTGGCGAATTAAAACCAACAGAAGACCATCAATTACCATACATTGTTTTTTCATTAAAACAAATATGTTAGATATGATAGCTCAGTGTCTCCCTTACAACGGCTGTGAATATACTTTGATTTGTTTATGAGTTGTTGATTGACCGTCAAGATAAAATCCGGTAGTAACTGTCTAACTTTACCGAACTGAGTTAATGTCATGTGGCTGCATTCCACCAAAGGCAACTAAAGGTTATGATTATTCACACTCATTTTATCATCATAATTGTTATATTTTTAAATTATGTAAAGCGTCTAAGAGTTTTTGCGAAAAGCACAATTCAAAGTCATCGATTGACTATTTTTTAACCCAGCTCAACGTATTGTGTGGTGCAAACTGAGACGAGACCATAGGACGAGACCTACTGCTTCATTTGTTGAAAACTCGGTTTCCCAGAGTTCTCTGCTGTTACGTGACTTGACGCTTTTTTCACCGATTGTTGATGACGACGGCAGCCACAGCGCAGGTTAGTAGCTGAGCGGTGTACTGGGAGCTATGACTGGGAGGAGTGCCTGCCAAGATAAAATAATTTACTCCGACGACTTGCTCTGAAAACACGGAGGAACAAAAACAACAAACGAGTGAAACAAAGCTTATATTAAAGCCCGGGAACTATACCCGTTTTGACGCTGTTTCAGGAGCTTCTCTAACATTGTTTTGAAGGCCTGTTGCTAGCTGCGGGGATCCTCGGGCTAGCCCTGTAGACACCGGGCCGAGAGAGCGCAAGGGACTGGGACAGGAGCTCCGCGGGATAACGACCAGGTTTGACTGACCCTGCCAGTCCTATCTTATAACACAACGAAGACGTAACCTCTCCTGCTCCGGGTGTCGGATATATACAGCGAAACTCCAGGCGCTCTCAGTTTGACAGCTAGCTAACATTAGCTCTGCTCTGTTTACAAGCTAGCCCAGCCCAGACAGTCTGGAGAAGTTGTCTCTTCGGTGTATTTGTTTCTGTTAGGATTTGCGTACTTGGGTGCTTGCGCCTTCATGCTAGCTGGTGGTGATTTGTAACCTTGTTGTACTTCTATGTACGTGGACTGAAGGTCGCCAGCCAGGCAGCTTGATCAAAAGGTCTCCTAGTTAAGGTTATCACATCTTATCTACTGCTGGCCATAGTTTGTTAGTCATTTTAAGAGAAGGAATAGTCCTACTGAGCTGATCATCCACGCTATCTCTGACCAGTTGGAAGACAGTATCCCGGATGAAGGCTCACAGAGAAGTGTGGATTTTGATGCTGTCAGGACCTACAGGTGTCACCTGTTCTTCTTGGCATTATTAATATCACACCGACATCTGCTCCACCAGAAGCCACTGATCTGCTGCTCCCTTGGGCAGATTTGCTCAAGAAGGATCCTCATCCAAAGAGACCACGATGAATCGTTACCTGCCGGTGGCCCGACAGCACTTCCTGGCTGCCCTTGCCAGCACCAGTGTGGTGGTGAAGAGTATAAGTGCTGTGGTGGTTCTCCTCTACCTACTGTCATGGGCTGTGGACACTCCATACGCACTGGGGGTGACACCAGGCTACCTCTTTCCACCCAACTTCTGGGTGTGGACACTGTTGACCCATGGGGTGGTGGAGCAGCACATCTGGGGTGTGGCAGTGAATGTGGGGACAGTGATGGCCTGTGGGCGCCTGCTGGAGCCTCTCTGGGGTGCTCTGGAGCTTCTGATCTTTTTCGCAGTGGTTAACGTCTCTGCAGGCCTCCTGGCCGGCCTCGCCTACCTCCTCACATATGTTGCCACCTTTGACCTCACTTACCTGTTTGCTGTGCGGGCCTACGGAGCAGCCGGGTTCCTGGGAGGAGTGCTGGTGGCGCTGAAGCAGACCATGGGAGACACTACAGTGCTCAGAGTGCCTCAGGTGAGCATAACACACACTGAAAGTCATTTCTGCTCTGCATGCTTATTTGACAGCCTCTTACTAATAACACTTTGGTGAAGACCCTAAAAGGATACTAGAAACACAACAACATACAAAGTGCAGCAGTAAGAAAGACAACAAAGACATTTATATTTAATGCAGGACTTCTCTACAAAATATGTTTACATTTCTTTGTGCCTGTTTCAGTGGGATGACTTCCCAGTTTCATGAATTGGGACTTTATGCTGTGACCTATTTTTGTTTGGTTTATTCTTGTCACATAGTATACAGCACTTGCTTCTTTTAGTTTGTTTAATGACAGTGTGATATTGTTAGTAATAGCTGTAATCCTTTTATGAACGAACACACGTCAAATGATTGCCATCCTCTTGTATTAAAGCCATAAAGGCCTGTGGTTTTTAGATCGCTCAGTGCCTAGTTTGTGTTGTCTGTGATTCTCTTCCAAATGTGGGCTACGGTGTGATCTGTTCATTTAAAGATGATATCTGATACTCCTCTGCAGGGCAGCTTACACGTAATGTCCCGATAAGGGCTTAGTGTTTTGCTGAAGCACACATTAGCTACACATTCTGAATGTGTCTCTAAACCAGGCCATTGTTGGTGCTTTTTATGAGTTTCTATTACACTAGGTTACTTTACTGTAATGTAGGTGTAGAAAATGAAACTGCCACGGGGGCACCACATAGAACCTTACTCAAGAATATGATTACATTTCCTGCAAAAAATCCATGTGCCCTCTTGTTTGCCAATCCCACCTACACGTGTCCCCAATGTGTCGGTACAGAATCACCAGGTGCCCCAAACCGCCTTCAAAGTCAAAGCATAAACAACTACTTCAAGTAACTTCAATAATTACACTAAATATAAGGTACATTTAATACAATAAACTAAAACTGCCAGAAAATAAATGTTTAACTATTAAATAAATCAACAGCAGTAGGGCTGCACAATTAATGAAACGTTAATCAAAATGGCAATATCGACTTGTGCTGTGTCCAAATGGCAGTAAGTTCTAATTTTGGTAGATGGAAACATTTAAAATATATTTAAATAAAGTATTGTGGTGATGCATTAAGTCCCGACCTACAAATGCCATTTTTTAGACTTAATAAAA